CAGGAAACTTAGGTATTTAAAATATGTTCAGCTATTAGAGCTTTGCTTTACATTATTTCAGACACAAAGCTATATTTTAGCACAAAATTATTGTGTCCTTGCTCTTTATCCTAAAAAAATAGACTACAGTTATTTTAAATTGAGTTGGAAGATTAAGTGAAGACAGGCCTCAATCCTGAGAATTTTGTGATTTGTTTGTACCGTTTGTCTTTTTACCGGCTAGAACTTTGTGAATTGTATTGACTTTCTAAATGCTATGTAGATAACCTATGACTTTTGCTGTGTTTTAGTGCTGCTTTGGTTTTATATTGAAATTAGAGATTAAGTCTGATTGAAAGTCTAACAGTACTCTCCAACTTTAATTAGACATCCACTAGGATCATTTGTTTCTTATGGAAAACAGAACTGTAATAATCAAGTGCCTCTAGGCCAATGTTGAATTAACATTTGAACACCTCTAAGAGTGTTTGTGGCCTGTGCAAATAACTCAGTTATAATAATTACCACTGCAATTAATTTCTAATGATGGGAAACTTAAAGTGCTACTGATAGCAAACTCCACATTTAATTTAATCAAGATGTGTAATGAGATTAGCTTTCACAACTGAGCTGTGTTCCAATTCCAAATGATTTAAATGTTTTCCCTTTTCAGTTGTACTAAGGTAAATTACTGAAGAGATGGAGATGTCACATGCTCAAACAATTTTATATTCAGTAAATACTCATTAAACAATGTTCAACATTTCTGCACTTCCATGCTAACACAAAAAGAAAGTGTGCTTTAATCAGACTGTATTTAAATCAAACATTGACAGTAGCTAGGTTGTTAAACTGAGCAACCGAAACTCCTGAGTAATTTCTAGCCTGTATCCCTTAATGAGGTTGGAGACCACTGCAGTTTAACATAATACAATAATAAAACATTTTAATCAGTATTAAAACTTCAATTAGGCCAGTAATGATGCATGCCTGTTCTTGTTGAAAGCATGGGTCAGTGAATTACTCAATGAGTGCCTTACAGTAATTGAAAACAAGCACACGTAAGGTGAAGTATGTCTAGGCTGTATTGTCTTATTTTAAAATGTGGTTGTAGCTTTCTTTAAAGGTGGAGTAACTTTCCTCTGATTGAAATGAGGGATTCCACAATCCAGTGGTACCCTATCATTTTCAGGATTTACTTGTAGGTAACAGCAGAGACTACAAAGTCCTGACTGCAACAGTAGTTATTTTTAAATAGACTTTTTTCAAACACACTGTCTCTGATGTTGCCAAAGGAGAAATTTAACCTTTTCATACAAACTACCAAGTGCAAATTTTTTTGTTTTGGTTTTGTTTTTTTTGAAACAAAACAGATGCCAAGGTACCCTAGGTCTTGGGAAAGCATAAAAACCAACCGCTGTTACGACCCAGCACCACCACAGTAATGTAGTTCTGTCTTGCAACATCCCCCAAAGTAGCACACCAGAAATCGGAACCGTTAGATACAAAGTATTTTGGAGATTGCTTAATTCTTGCAGTTCATAGCCTTTAAAGCTGTGGTAGCTTGTGACACTTTTAGACAATTCCAACAGTTCCCGTATCAGAAAGATTTAATACTAAAGGGAAGGGCGTATCTCAGTGACTACGTAGTCAGAAGTTCAGAAGACCAATCTCCGTAAAATAGAAAATGCCAAGGAACAAAAACACTTACCAGCTCAGAGGGAAGCAATACACACATCAACACAGCACTTGGAGAGAGGGAGCAGCTGCTTCTCCATCCCCCATTTAAAGGCGTGCCTGCCAGAGCAAAGCCTGCTGGGGAAGGCTGGCGCAGCGGTGAGCCGTCAGTGCTGGTGGGGGCATGGGGCTGTGGGGCTGGTGGTGAAAAGGGCTGCGTTTCCTCTTCCTAGAGGTTGGGTGTAAGAGTCTGAGACTTCTAGGAGGTAGGTGGTGTTTTAGTTGTCGGGTAGTTATTTTCTCTACTTCCCATGTCTTGCTGTGATCTATATTCACCGCAATTTTTTTAAAATAACTTTACCTGTTCCTGAACTACATCATCCTGATGCACCTTATTTCCAAGTGGTTGCTGTGGCAGCACTGTTTTATTGTATTAAGCATGACTCACCCCCAGGAACAACACTCGTGGCAACACGCTTACCGAAGTCTTACAAATAAGTAGCAATGGGAGTGGCACCATCATGACTTGTGTACGTTACCTCTTGTCTGCAAGGACTTTTAAGCTGCGCATTATCAGTGGAATTGTGGTATGAATGACTTTTTAGATCATGGGGACAAAATGTTACCAAGTAGCTGGAATGTTTTTAGGGGAGAAAAGCCTTTGAGAGCTGTAAGTATATTTTCATTTCTTGTTTCAATGTTCTGCCAGTGAGAGCTAACATAGTTATTTTATAATATGTTGTTGTAAAGAGGTGTAATGACTATTGTATAATAAATAAATTGTGTAATTTGAAAATCACTTTTTTGGTTGTTTTTATGTTGGGATGGATTGAGAAAGGTGCAGTTAGGGATCAGCTTTGTTTCAGCCCATACGGAGGAAAGCGAAGTATTTGTCAGCA